ACCCTGAAAGATGCACGCTACCGTAACCCCTAAATTTAGACGCCGAGTTTTTGAAGGTTTCTTTTCCTTTTTAGGAGTTTTTTCTCGTGTTTTTGTTGTTTACAGAGACCGCAGGGAGGTGTGACTGTCAGGGAGCGATTTTGTTTATGGTGTTCTTGAGGACTCTTCTTGCTTTTTTTCTTCTTTGGGAGATTACTTATCAGCTACTGTTTCATAATTGAAAAGCAACTATCCATGACACTTTTATCGCGGGAGCTGTCTTTAATTAGCGGAAAGGATACTGAGGCGCTGGCGAGTAATCCCCTCCCTCCACCCCGTCAAATACGTTGGCTCCAGTGAGTATGCTAGAGGTTTATGTGGGAACAGGAGTACAGGCGCCCAATTTGATTTGAAGTGTCCGGTTTGAATTAATGAGGAGGACAAAGTAATTGGGGGAGGTTACGCCGCAATGTGACCATGCCACGTCACATCTGTTTCCCTGCACCCTCTTACTGAAAATATTTTCAAGATATTTCCGAACAGGTTCCCGCCGAAACAGGAAGGTGGCTTTAGAGCCATCAAAAGGCTCTGAAAAGAACTGGCAAGAGCGCGTCAATATGTCAAAACATGCCACGACGTGACATAGCCGCGCGCCTCATGGCCCCATCATCCAACTTTGCCCTTAAGAACGTCCTATTCATTTCGAATTTGGAGCGGAACTGGTGTCCCCCCGCCGCGCAAGTTTGTAAACAAATAAACAAAATTCATCAACTCACATATGATAATCCTTATGTAGAAACCGTAGTCGGGTTGTACTGGTATGGCAGCCGTGGTGATAGGCGTGTGTGCAGGCGTGTCTAAATAGTCAGTGAATTTTATGGTCGTTGGAAAAGCGCCTAGGTAGAAAAGCAAATAAAATGGAATTGGGCAGATCGATGAGTGGTTGTGGTGGTGGTAGGAGAGGGGAAGCGAATGGCTTATTGAGTACGTGAGGTCATTAAGCAGCTAAAATTCCATGGGTGACAGCGACATGTCAAAGCTCATCAGACAACCGAAGCGAAGCCCCCCCCCCTGTTCACCCATCCGCGAACCTACTCTGTTTTTTCGCGTAGTTGAAAAACGAATTCAATTTGTTCATAACGAAGACAACGGACTCAATTTTGTTATAGCCAGTGAGCAATATTCTATGAACTTTTCGAGGAAAATTAGGGAAGATGAGGGGGGGAGGGGGTAGGGGGTTCAATCTGATGACGTGAGAGTTCGAGGAATCGGGTAAAATGGCAAGGCTGAATTGCTGGGCGGATCCGCCGTGCATCCGCTTTCGTTTCGGAAAATGGAATCCTTTGGGGCTTAACGATGTTTACAACAAGCCTTACTATGATTATAGAGTTTATCGATCCAGTTTGTGATGCAAAAGTCATGGCAAAAAATGAGTCAGGAGCCAAATGCTTGGCCCTAGCGGGACTGGACAGGTGTAGAACAACCCAAGAGTCAAAAGGATTCCAGCAGAGATCTGAAAATTTGGAGGGGAATTCCTCCTCGTTATAGCGCCCTCCCTTCCCTCTCCCTCCGACCCAGAAGCTCAACTTCACCCACTTCTCTACCACCTTTTACATGCACTATCTAAAAGGATCCCATTGATTCATGATTGATTCGTCGCCGGAGGAGAAAGGAAAATCGCCTTCCCTTCCCAGGACACCCTTCAAACGCAGTCCAACAAGTC